CACAGACCAGCTGCCCAGTTCACTCTACTCTGGGGCCAACCCAAGCACAGGCCTGGGCCACCAGACTCTAAGTTCTGGCTGTATCTGCAGGATTGAGCGGATCATCACCCCACGCCTGGCACTGACCACTGCTGAATTCCTTGCCTACCAGTGTGAGAAGCACGTGCTGGTCATACTGACTGACATGAGTTCCTACGCAGAGGCCTTGAGAGAGGTGAGGCGGTTGGCACGGGGGCAGGCTCATCCCCATCTCTTCCTTGCCCCTGTCCCCCAGTGTCATCCACCAGGCCTACCCACCCCCGGAACTTCAAGGCTCAGTCATAAGCTGCCCATGTTCCTGCCCCCACCTATTTCTCACATAATCTTGGAATCCCCCCCCCCCGCCCACACACACACATTCTTCCTTACTTCAGCCTCTCCCTCCTACTCTATCCCAATGGCCATGGATGTTGCAGGTCTCAGCTGCCAGAGAGGAGGTGCCGGGGCGTCGGGGCTTCCCAGGATACATGTACACAGACCTGGCCACCATCTACGAGCGGGCTGGCCGTGTGGAGGGCCGGGGTGGCTCCATTACGCAGATCCCCATCCTCACCATGCCCAATGATGGTGAGCCTCAAGCTGCCCGCTACCCTCACAGGCCCTGCCCTCCCTTCCCAGCCCATGCTTTGCACAGACGTGCAGTAATTCAGGTGCTCCATCCATGCAAATAAGTCCTTGACTTGCTCCACCCACCCTACCACCCCACAAGGGGAATAGAACCCAGACGATCCTAGTGGGTAAAGTCCTGGGCCCCATCTACAATGAGGTCAGTGCCTTTCCTTGTAGATATCACTCACCCCATCCCAGACCTTACGGGCTTCATCACAGAGGGACAGATCTACGTGGACAGACAGCTTCATAACAGACAGGTACTGTCCCTTCCCTATTCACTTCCTGTTCCCTATATACAAGTACCAAGAATTAGGAGGGCCAGCAAGGCTAATCCCAAATAAGAGCTAACCCTCCTGGAAGCTGTGTGGTTCACAGACAGAAAACTGGTCTGGGTAAACTTCAGCTCACCAGCTTACCTGGAGAAAATAATTTCATTTCTCTGATCCTAGGTTTCCTTTCATAAAATGGGGGTAATTATATTTGTCACACAGTTGCATTGTGAAAGATAAAACCAGTTGGGATATAGAAGGCAGATTGTGGACAATACCTAGCATTTCTCTTCACTTTCCAGTAATTCGCTTTAGTGAACAGGAGCCAATGGGTAACGGATACAAGCACATGGTGAATAATGTGCCAATGGTTTGTTAAAATGCGTCGGCCTCATCCATAGGTTAAAGGCAACCAACCCACATGGCTTTTTCCATTGGCTCAGGTGGTTCTTTCTTTGCAGCTATTAACTGATAAGCTTCAATCTGGTTGTGGTCCAAATAAAAATTGCGAAATGACAAGTCTTCCATGAACACCATGTCATCTCCCTCCTCTTCTGTCTTGCACATGTACAGACACTTAAGAGTGGGGGAGATATAAAGTGGACTTCTCTGCAGGACAAGGGGAGACCCAAACTATAGGGGGAGGGAAGACAGTGGGGCTGGAAGGAAAGGGAAATGGGGGCCCTGCTGCCTGCCATTTCTTCTGTTCTCCCAGATCTACCCTCCCATCAACGTGCTTCCTTCCCTGTCGAGGCTGATGAAGTCTGCCATTGGGGAGGGAATGACAAGAAAGGACCATGGAGATGTCTCTAACCAACTGGTAATTGGAGAGGACCCAGGGGCTGCAGATTAGCTGGTTTCAGAAGCTAGAGGTTTGAGCCCAATGTGGGTTTGCTTCCCGCCCCCCACCCCAGTATGCCTGCTACGCCATCGGGAAGGACGTGCAGGCGATGAAGGCGGTGGTGGGAGAGGAGGCGCTCACCTCGGAGGACCTGCTGTACTTGGAATTCCTGCAGAAGTTTGAGAAGAACTTCATCAACCAGGGTGAGGCGCAGTGGGGGCGGTCAAGGCATCCTTTCACTCCGGTTCTTTGTCTCTCATTCAAACACACACACACACACACACACACACACACACACGCACGCACGCACGCACGCACGCACGCACGCACGCACGCGCGCGCACACACATTCCTAACAGTTCTGCTCTGTCCCAGGCCCCTATGAGAACCGCTCGGTGTTTGAGTCGCTGGACCTGGGCTGGAAGCTGTTACGCATCTTTCCCAAGGAGATGCTCAAGCGCATCCCACAGAGCGTGATCGAGGAGTTCTACTCCCGCGAGGGGGCGCCGCAGGAGCCAGCGTCCGACACTGCGCTCTAGCTAGGCTGCCTGGGGGCGCGGTCTGCAGCCCTCCTTGGTGCTCACCTTGCCCATCCGCCATGGCCCCACACATCTGAGCCAACCCTTTCCCAGTCTACTCACCTGCTATAGGCGAGAACTGGGTGGGGGCGGGGGCGAGGGGGTGGGGGGGTGGGGGTCGAGTAGATAGGGGATGTGGGGATGGGGTATTGGGTGGATGGGGGGGTGGGAAGAAGAGAAGGGTGGGAGGGTACGCCTTTGCCCTTCCCTTTCCCTGGATTCTTGGCACTGGAAAAACAGATTAAACTTGTGTTCTATGTTTAGCTCTAACTAGAACTTTACATTTTTATTTTAAAAGACTTCCAAATAAGCAACTGAACTGAAAAAATTTACTTCATGAGAAAGCCACTGATAATTGAAGATGGGGTGATGTGTAGATGAGGTTCATTAACCTATTAGCTCCACTTTAAAAACACTGCCACCACCATCACTGTGTTGTTGGTTTAGTTTTTAAAGATTTATTTATTTTTGTCTAGAAGAACTGGGGTGGGGGGGCAGGGGCGGGGTGGTGGTAGGGAGAGGATTCACCAGAGACAGAGTGGGGAGCAGAACAGACAGGTCGATGAAGTACTGCTGAGGGGAAGAGCAGCCTGCGAGACAGGAGAGGTCCACTGCTCTGCATGTGGTTTAGCTCCCTGGCTGGAGATGGAACTCTGGCAGTAAAGTTGATCGATCAGAGACTAACCCCTAAGACACCAGGGAGGCCCACCATCACTGATTTGACAGCTGACAATATAATTCCTCCTAGGAAGCTATTTATCATTGTTAAGAAATATCTCCATATGTTTCCTGGGTGGAATGTGAGTTCAGGGGCCTTGAAAAGGAGAGCCAGTCCACAAAAATTATTTGTGTGACTAAATAATCGGGGCGATGGGGGGGGGAGGTTGATGTGCTTCAGACAGGGAGAGGAATGGCTGAGCGACATGTTGGGAGTACAGATGGCCTAGGAAATCCCCTAGTTAGGAAGTGGGTGAACATCCTAAAAGTCAGGTCATAATATTTTAAAATGACCTCTCCCTCTGTGCTGTCCTTGACCTTACAACCCCTTTCCCCTCTGCCCCATCTCCCATGAAGTCGGGAGAATTTCCCAAGACGCAGGTGTGGGTTGGGAGGACAGAACGTCAGCGAAGGGCTGGCTTCTGTTTCTGGGACAAAGTGTTGTAGAACAAGTTCAGAATTCTTGCATTAAGAGCTGAGACCAAAGGAAGCCCAATTCCAATTCCCAGTGACAAGAGAGCTCAGGGCCATTTTGTGGGTGAGGAGGAGACACTTTGGGGGAAAGTGCTTGGAAGTCCACCGGACATGGGGTTGTTTTTTTATTTAGTAACAGCTTTATTAAGATACATTCACATACCATACTATTTAGTTATTTAGTAATTTTTCATATAGTCACAGTTGTGCAGTTATCACCACAATCAATGTTAGAACATTGATTCTTAGCTATTGCCAATAATAAAAAGTTAAAAAGCCCGGCCCTCCCAGGTGGCACAGCAGGTTAAAGCACAGCACTAAGAAGCTAAGGACACAGTAGCATAAGTTCGATCCCCGCCCCAGAGGTGACCCACATGGCGCGGCAGACCTCTCCTGACCTGCCTGCTGCTCCCCTCAGCAGTGTACTTCGTCAGTCTGCCTGTTCTGCTCCCCTCTGTCTCTGGTCAATCCTCTCACCACCTCTGCAGCTCTGACTTGTACCCCAGTTCTTTGTGCATATAATACATAATCTTTAAAAAAAAAAAGTTAAAAAGCCAAACTGAGTAAAATACTCTTAAGATCAAAGATATTTAAAAGGTTACTGTGTTAAACTGTTATGTCAAACTTTACAAATCAATAGAAAACAACATAAAGACTCAAAGAATAAAAATAGATCTTACCAAAAACAGAAGTAGTAAAACAGAATAGGTAAGAAACAGAACAGTGATAAATAGCTCTTGCTAGTTGTCAGCAGCTCAAATGACATCACCATTTCTACCACCAAATACCAAATGTATTTAAAACAATGATATCCAGTGCCACGTATCCCTCAAATGGTTCACTTCTAATAGCACATTCACAAACTGGAGCAGCTCAGCTCTCCTTGTGAAGTAGGAACTGTTAGTAACCCTGCTGGACTGATGCAGAAACTAGCCAAAACTTTGATGTAATATGCTTACATGTAAGTAGAACTTTCTACCAGCAGGTAGAACCTGGAGGGCAATTTAGAAACACACATCAACAGGGGAAAATGTTCATTCCCTCTCGCCCAGTACTTCTACTTCCAGGAATGGATCCTAAGAAAAGCACCAGAGATGAGCCATTTGTTTTCTTCAACATGTAAAATGACAGCAGGCCTATTATGATGTGTCATAAAGTGCACTTAGAATGTGGAATGATAGTGAGAGCTCATAATATTAAGGCCAAGTTAAAAGACAATAAAAATGCACATAGGACGTGTTTGTGTGCGCGAGTGTGTGTTAATAGACCATAATTTTTGTGGGTGGTGGAATTGAGGGTTTCAATTTCTCTGTTGTACTTTTGCCTGTTTTTTATATCAGTACTTAGAAACGAAAGCTGTCTTCGGTGGGGGGCGGGGCTGAGCAAAAGCTGGAGAGCATTTGATACCACATTCTGGGATAAGGGACTTGAGAGGACAGTGATGGCAACGGCAGGGGACCCTGGGGGACCATGACCTTCCCAGGCCACCCCACCCGGAGCTGGAGTTCCAGCGAGGCGGGCGTGCAGAGTAGGTCACCCTGGGACATCCTGAAGAGCGGTGGAGTGGAGCACAGCCCCTGCCAACCAGCGTATCTCCAGGCAGACAGAGAGGAAAATCTAATGACCAGGAAAAGTGAAGAGGAGTCCCAGCTGCTTAGGTGGGCCAGGGCCTGGGAACCCAGCTACAGGGTTTGGAACCACTAGTGCTGCCCTCAAGAGGCAGGTCCTGAAACCAGCCCAAACTATGGTGGGGTGCCAGAAGCCTGTGGAGCCAACTGGGGCTGGGGCTCACCTCCTGAGGGGCGCAGGCTGCCAGACCATGAGCCTCCACACTTCCCAGGTGACCCTGGCCCCCACAAAAGCAGGCTTGGGGTGCTGTTCCTGCAGACTGCCGGCTGGGACAGGGTGGCCACTTCCTTGCTCACGTCTTCCCTTTCTCCCCCCACCCTTGCTGGGACTGTAGACTGCTGGATGAGTGGGATGTAGTGGAGATTGGGAATTACTATGAATTCTTCGCAGCTGGCTTGGGTAACCTGGAATGGCTGCGGTTCTGTCTGAATCGCAAACATGATGGAATCCTGAAGGATGACAAGGTAGGCCTTGAAGTGCAGCACCCTCCTGACCCCAGCCCACCCCAGCCCACTCAGAGCTCCTCCATAGTGATCACATGGCAAGACCTGCCTATAACATATCCAGGAAAGGCCTTTTCTGTGCAGATGGTCCTGATTCACCCACACCATGGGATGGCCACTGGGGGGGTGGGGGGGTGAGGGTGGGGGAGTCAGCCAGAAAGGCTGAGCATAAGCAGGGAGCTAGAAATGTTGTCAGCTATTGTGGGATTGGAGATACAGCGTACGGAGGAAGGGGAACTCCTGGAAAATGCTTTCCAGGTTAGGCTGTGAATCTTGGGGCCCTAATTCTACTCAGCTTCTTTTTGCCCTTCTCTGACCCTCACAGGGTTTCACTGCCATCCACTTCGCAGCCCAGAATGGCAAGCTTGCCAGCCTGCAGGTCCTGATAGAGGAGTACCAATTTCCCGTGGACCTGCCTACTAACAATGGCCAGACGCCCCTGCACCTTGTCATCCAGGGGGACAAGGCCAACACCCTCCCCTGCATTCTCTACTTACTGAAGAAAGGAGCTGCCCTCACCGCGTGAGTCCAGCCTGCATCTGGAGAGTGACCTGGGGCTGGGCTGATAGGAACCCCTTTCAGGTAGGACAGGCCCCACATAAAGCAGCCAGGGACCCCACAGGTGAGACCTAGCTCTTGCCCCAGCTTTACCACTTGCTGGCACACATCAAGACCTCAAGCTGTTGCACAACACTAAGCCTCAGTGATCTGGCTCTCTGTTGGTTCCCAGGAATCACCTGGGAAATTCAAACATCCCAATGCCTATGCCTAATCTAAAGACTGATTTAATTAAGGTGTGACCTTGGCTCTGGAAATCTTAAAAGACCTCCAGGAGTTTCTAATTTGCAGCAGAGTTTAGGAACTACTGCCTTGGTATCCTCAGCTGGAATTTGAGAGGATGACATGACACTCCTGTGATAGCTGAGGAAACACATGGGAAGTGCGCGGACAGCAGACAGACTGCCTACATTCCACACGTGTACAGAGCATGCGTTGTACTGTTAAGCACTATGCCACAGTTAAGAAACACATAGAGCTGGTAGACTCAGGAGCACCAGTGTTTGGACAGTAAATCAACAACTGATAAATGAACAAAATGGCAGCATGCTAAAGGTTAGAAAAGAAATTACTAGACTGATAGAGTGGGTGACAAAGGGGACAGGGAGAGGATCTGCTTTGGAAGCAAGTTACCTCAGGGTGATAAACTGCAATCTGAAGAGTGAGAATGAGTCCAGTGTGTAGCCAGGGAACCATGGTCCAGGCAGAAAGGATAGCATGTGAAAAGAGCATTGCTGGGAGACTGGGGTAGGGCCAGGTCACACAGGCCTGGTGAGTCATGGCTGGGCATGGGGAAGCGACAGGACTGGCTGATTGGAGAGCAGATGAGGCTTTAGTGGTCTCTCTGCTCCAGCTAGCCAGCTTTCCTTCCAGTAGTTCTTAACTGTCACATACCTCCCAGACCCAGGTGTCTGCTGTTCACTTAGTCCAAACCCACCTACCTTCAAGGAAACTGAGAATCGGAGAGGAGAAAGGGGAACACAGCCAGGGTCACCCACTTGGCAGGCAGCAGGACAGGCCTGGAAGCAGGCTGGACTACCTAGCTGATGGAAAGATGCTCTTTGTGCTTTTGGGCCGGGGAACCTCCAGTGAGACATGCAACGGCTCCACACCCCTGCACCTGGCAGCCCGAGAGGGCCTGCTGAGTTGCGTGAAGGTCCTGGTGCAGAACGGTGCCAACGTCTATGCTCAAGATGCCATGGGCTGCAAGCCCATTGATTACTGCATTATATGGAATAACCGCGACTGTGCCAGGTGAGGGTGTGAGAATCATCATGACCTGCCACCCCTTCCCTCTGCCAAGCCTTTAAGGGGAGGAGCTGGGGAGCCGATGCCAGAGGACATGTCTGCCAAGGAGGCTTGTCAAGGAATCTCCCCAGGATGTTATTCGTAGGGTGGAGGATGTTATTCGTAGGGTGGACCTATGGAGGTCCTCTCCCCATCCTTCTCCCTTGCCCTGGGGCCCCAGACTATCAGAGGCTTTCAGCTCTCAGCTCAAACGAAGTAGCCAGAGGGGCCTGGGCCTGGGGCTAGCGGGTTCATCTCTGGCAGCTCCTCTTCCCCTGTCTAGGTCCCCAGGAGCAGCCAATCTGCCAGGCCAGGTTGAAGTTCAGGTACTGTGGGCTGACACGCCCCCATTTGGCACCAGGTTCTTGAAACATGCCATGTGGAAACAGGACAAGAAGCACTTTGCCCATGAGATGCGGAAGCTGAAGAAACTCAAGGACGAGCTGGCCCTCGTGGAGCACAACTACCTGACTGAGTGTCAAGTAAGGGTCAGGAGGGGCAGGGCGCGGGCAGCAGCTGTGGCCAGGTGTGTGAGCAGAGGGGGCAGTGACTGTGTGGTTGGTTGGAGAAGTTGGTTGGCACTAATCCCTCTGGCGAAACCTCCTGCTCAGAAGCCACTCCTTGAGGTTAAAGTCCCATCCTACATTAGACAGCAGATAAAAGCTTGAACTAGCAAGTGTTTATGGAGCCTTCCTCGGGTGATGTGTCCTCCCGGATGTGGAAAACGTCTAACGAGACCCAGGCCTTGCCTGTACCGGGACTCGCATTGGTTAAAAAGGCTCATGCTCCTAACAGACACTGAGCACTCACTGCCTTCTGGGCACCCACTAGACAAGTGATGCGCCATAGAAAGATGAGATGTGGGCCCCTCACTCAAGGAGTTGAGAGTCTACATCTGCTAGAGGAGGGTCCAGGAGGACTAAAGCCTGGGAGGAGTCCTTAAGGATGGTAGCCGCTGACCACATGCAGTAGGGAAGGGCTAACCAGACAGAAAGAACAGTGCTATAGCAAGGCAGAGAGACACATGCTGTGAAGGACACCTTCAGGACACCAGGGCCTTGGAGGTGAGCTGGAAGTTCACCAGCCAGAGGCGAGGCAGGTGCCCAGATCAATGACATACCTTGGCTAGGGAGCAAAGGTGGGGGGCAACAAAAGAATTTTAAGCGGGTATTTTTACACAGGGTACAAGAACCAGGAATCTCAGAAAGACGATGCTGGAAATCCTAAGTGGAGGTAGAAGTGGGGAAGGCTTTCTGGATAAATACAGTCCTCTGGCTCTGTTCCAACTGCATTTGTCCAGGTTTCTCTGCCCCTTCCTCCAGTTTACACAGTCACACACGTGTCTGGAGAAGGTGATCAGTTCCTGGGGCTCTCAGTTCTCCAGGAGCCCCCATGGGACCTCATGCCTTACTGGCCTCAGCTGGATCACATGTCCATTTTTCTTTCACTCCCTAGAGCTAAAGCAAAGTTGACTGACTCAGGTAGGAGTCAAGGCTGATGGAATTATGTTGACTGGCTTAGCATAATCAGAGCCTGCCTCCAACTGGTTCAATCTTCAAGCACCCTGATTGCTCAGCAGCAGGCTGGAAATGGAGGCCCTGAGATGGGAGGGTGGGAAAGGGTGGTTCTGTGACAAGCTGAAGGATCAACACTAGCGGAGACAGAGACAAGGACAGAAAGTTAGACCAAGTCATCCCCACCCATTCTAAAGCTAGCCTTGCATGATTGCTCAAGGCTACCATTGCCAAGGAGCCTGCCCAAATTAGCTCCACCTAGTTCCAGGCCTTCCAAACCTTTCTACTTTTTCCTTCCAGGATTAAGGATGCAGTGTGCATTTTTTATTTAACTCCTAACTTCTCTCCCGCCAATCCCAAAGATTCTGTTAGGGCAAAATATAGCTCCATTATCAGACAGGGGTCTCCTGGAGGGGGGCCAGAGGTTTGTTTCCCCCGAAGAGACTCAAGGTTTTCTATGGGGTAGGGATGGCTGTCTTTCCCCAGAGACCTCATGTAAGGTGGAGGCTGTATCACCATGAGAGTGGAGGTCTCTATGTGAGAGGCTCTGTTGCCCCATCAGCCCAAGGGTCTTCCCCCATCAAGAACAAAGGCTCCTCAGGGCCTCCCTGGTGGTGCAAGGGGTTAAAACTCAAGTTAAAACTCTCCACAGCCAATGTGGCACAAGTTCAATCCCCGACCAGGGAGGTGACCCACATGGAGCAGCAGACCTCTCCCATCTCACACACTGCTCCCCTTGGCAGTGTGTTTCAGTAGATCTGCCTGTTCTGCTCCCCACTCTGTCTCTGGTGAATCCTCTCACTGCCCCCACACCTCTGGCCTGTACCCCAGTTCTTGTATGCATAAATAAATACATCCTTAAGGAAAAAAAAGGAACAAGGACCCCTCTAAGACAGGGGTTTCCCCCAGTAGACTCAGAGCTCCCCTGGGCCTGGACAATGGCCCATTAGACAAGGCTTTCTTACAGCCATAGCGGAACAGCCCTCCACGACTAGCTTGTGCCCTCTGATGTTGCAGGAAGAGCACCAAATTCTGAGAGAAAGTGAGCTCAAGAAGTGGCTCCAACGCAAGCGGCTACAACACCATGCTGAGCGGCAGCTGCATGCCCTCCCCCAGGTCGTCCCTCACTCCAAGGCCCCCAGGCACCAGGGATTGTCACTTCCCAAGCTCGTCCTCCTGTCCCCAGAGGCACGCCTCCGACAGATACTGCAGCCCAAGCCACAGCCCTTGGAGAAACCCATATCCCTCCGCCCTCAGTCCACAGTCACTCGGCCCATGGTGTGGAACTTTAGCAACAATCCTGCCAGATTCCCCACTGCCCAGATCAGATACCCCCAAGGCATCCGCCTGGGCGTGCACCCAGACCCCAGCCTGGAACGCGACCTCAGCAGCTTCCTGGAGGTGAGGTCTGACGAACAGGGTGGTCCAACACTCTACACAGTGGCCGGCGACCAGGTGGCGCCTCTGCCCCAGCTGCCCTTCGAGGTGATAGTCCACACTCTGTGCCCTTCAGTGCAGCCAGAGAGGATGAAGGTGCCCCAGGGTTTCTGCTCTGTCAGCGTGATGGATGTGCCCCAGAAGCGGCACTGGGACAACGCTTTTAGGACCGACACTCTGGCTATGAACCTGCGTGAGACATTTGACGAAGCCTTCCTGGCAGCCGTGGGAACCTGTCAAGGGTTCCCCACTCTGCCCTCCCCGAAAACCCCTCCATAAATTCGTTTTTGTAGCCTGTGAAGTCTGAGGTATGGTGATTCACTGTATGGGCAGGAAAGAAAGCAGATGTGGGTGTGCCCTCTCGGGCTTCCCACTCCCTGGTTCAAGGGTCAGAGCCTCATCTCCCCAACAAAAGCCTGGATCCCAGGTCTCTCTTGGATCCCCCAGGAGAATCCATGTTAGGGCAGAAGTCAAGACTCACCATACCAGTAGAGACCAGTTGGTAGCCTGGGTCCCAGCATCGTAAATGTGACTGTGGTGTCCCCATCGCTCCTCTCCACACCCCACCAGCCCACCAGGGACAAGGCTTCCAGCACGGGGCCCATTGGGAGTCTGCCTCTTGCTGCTGCAGGCCTGAGCCTCACTCTTCATTCCAGGCAGATGACAGTTAATACGTCACCCTGGCATGTGCTCCTGTTACTATGGGCTGCCATCCTTCATTGCCAGCTACCACTGGGGTTTCTACAGTTCAGGGTGCACAGGCAGCCCAGTGAGGGGGTATAGGGGCTTATAGCTTTGGTTTGAGACTATGAAAGTACTCGTCCTTTCTCTAGGAAGAGTCCCCTGTATGCCCTGTACACATCACTGCAAATCATTCATTAAACAAACATTTATTGAATGCTTTCTATGTGCCAGGCACCAAGCCAGGTGCTGTTCATACAAAAATTGGACAGTTCCTGCCCTCAAGGAGCTTACAGTCTAGAGGGGAGAAAGACCAGTAAGTAGGCAAATAAGTCCAGAGTGATCGGTATGGTATGTTGGAGAAGAGGGGATATTCAAAGCTCCTTGAAGGAATGAAATCTAAGTTGAGAACTGACAGCGAAGGTATCCAGAGGAAAGGGAAAAGCAAAGTGGCATATTGACAGAGAAGGCCTAGAGCATGGAGTGCAAGGTCATGAGGCCAGAGAGGTAAGCAGGAACCAGGACACGAGTCTTAACAAGCCATGTTAAGGAGTCTGGACTTTATTCGGGGGCAGTGGAAAGCTACGAATGTTGCAGACTAGGGAGTGACTTGATCAGATTAGAAACACAACAGGTTGTGGCATAGAGAAGTGGAAAGAGGCTGTCATAATTGTCAGTGAAAGCTGGTGACAGAATGGCTCAGAGCTACTGAAAGAGGGAAATTTAACAGAGATTGGATGTGGAGGTTGGGCGGGGAGAAGGAAGAGAAAGCAGGTCCCTGTCTGGCTCTCGAGTGACGTTGGGGCCACAGTAAGTGCCCAAAAGAGCAAGTGTGTAGAGGATGGACACAAGTGCCATCTGGGCCTTGAGCGTTGTCTCTGCATCCAAAAGGGAATAGAACTGTGGTTCAGAAGATCAGGAAGGATGTTGGGCTGGAGATCAACTCTCAGTTCCTCAGCAGGCTCCTTGAAGCCATCAACATGGATGGACTCCTCCAGGGAGCCCACGACAGAACCCTGAGAAACCCCACTGTGCGTGGGGAGAGAAGCCTGCACCGGGAGCTGAAGGGAGCAGCCAGAGAGGTAGGAAGAAAGCCTGCCACGGAAGGGCCAGGGGCGTGGGAGTCAAGAAGCTGGTAATTAGCCCTGTCAGATGCTGCAGCTCCAGTAAGATATGAAAAGGGCCCCGCGCATCCTCGGTGCAGGCCACGGGCAACCTCCAAGAGCACGGGGCCTGGAAGGATGGCAACGGCCTCCAGTGTCCTCGCCCTTGTGTGCATAGGTGAAAATGGCCTGGCAACCTCAGTCCCAACAAGAGAAGACCAAGAAGTGTTACTCTGCCCATGGAAAAGGGAAGGTTCACCTTTTGAAGAGAACGGGAAAGGCTAGAGTCGAGGAAATGAAGGGCTACAGTGGGACTTGCGGTGGGATGTGCAGGAAAGATTTTTAAGCACAGGTGTCTTCCAGTGACTGAACGGTACAAGTGTGCAGTCCGGCTCTGTGTCTGCCAGCCTCGCACTGGTAAGGGACACGGCCAGCAACTCTCATGGGGGCTTCATCCCAACACGTACTCTTGAGTACTTGCAAGGCACTGTCATCGGAGCGCAAAGTGAGCGGACGCTGGTCTGTGCCTAGGGGGTGGCCCTCCTCCCTGGACCGCTAAGGTCACCCCCCAGGGCCAAGAAGATGACCAGCTCCATGTGCTCCCATGAGTTCTACTTCATGAGAAACAGGCTGTAACTCAGGCTGCCCAGAAGCCAATTTTTATTTTGTTTCTCCTTGAGCCTAAGACAGAATCCAGGCAGAAACCACTCTCGTTCCCCAGGGGGAAACATAAACAAAATACCTTAGATGTTCTTTTCAAAATCTAACCCAGTCCCAAGTGTCCTCTCTCAAACCCCAGCTTGACAGCCATGAAGCCTTGGGGAAAGAAGACACAGAAGAAAAGAGGGGCATAAGAAAGGGTGCCCCACCCTTCCTCCCCTGGTTCCCTCCCGACCAGGCTCAGCTCCTGATCTCTGCCCCTTTCTCACCAACGTCACATGATCAGTCCTTTCAGAAGGACAGACCCTAACACAGAAAAGGGGTGCCTGGAGCAGAAAAGCCAATGCAGTCCAGAGCAGAAGGTCAACAGGAAGAATAACTTTCAGGGCATTAAGGCAAACAGTGCCACCTAAAAACTTTATTCAAATGGGAATCAGCACTTGGACAGGAATCACAGTTCAACAGCAAGAACTTTCTCTTGAAATTGCTGAGCCTTGGCCCACCCAAGGCCATGGGCCCAGAGAACCTATCGCGGTCTGCTCTCCAGCTTCATGGCCTACCCTGCCTGCCCCGCCGGCCCCAGCTGAGTCAGAACCTCTGGGCCCACCACAGACAGGGAGCGCCGGGGCCACGGGGAGCGCAGCGTCTGTACAGCCACAAAGACCACAGCCTCCGGGCTAAGCAGGCCCTGCCATCCTCCCTGGTTCCCTGAAGTCGCGGCCTCAAACTATCAGATCTGAGCCAAGCTCAGGCCCTCCTGGATGGTGAAGATGGGGGCTTCAGGGAAAGTCCAAGGATGAGGGAAGGTGCCTTCCAGGTTCACGGCCCCCAGCTAGTACAGAGGCACAGGGGCCTTACTCTCCTAGTCTTGCCCCAAAGTCCCGTCCCCAAGGGGCTCAGTACATCTTCTGTCGACTGGGTAGGATGGCCTCTTTGATGAAGGAGAAGACAACCAGGATCCCTAAGCGTTTTCCCCGCTTGCCTTTGGTGAAGTAATTGGAGACCACGTCATCTGTGGAGACACAGGCAGGGAGATGAGCGTGCATTTATCTGAATGTAGACACAGCTCTCCCCACCTGGAGCCCAGGGGTCTTCACCGCAGGGCTGGGATCCAGCTCAGCCACCTCAGGCCTTGCTGGCATCCTCCCCCCATGACCCCTCACAAGCCCCTTCTCACCTCCTGGCTGCACGGTGGAGGGCAGGACGTTCTCCCCAGCCGACAGTGACACAAAGAACGCAAATGGGATTATCCACAGACAGAAAGTGAAATAGGCCAGGACCTGGCAACAAGAGACACTGAGAAGAAGGTGCCCCTCAAGGCTCCGTGGGCGGGCGGGTGGACAGAGTCACCACGTGTCCTGGAGACTGGTCAAGAGTAGTCTAGGCCCCAGGTAGCAGACATGTGCTCAGACATGAGCTAATCTGGTGGGGGAATGGAGGCTGAAGACAACCCAGTGGGCAGAGTGTGAAGAAATCCTGACAGGAAGTCCCCTACGCTGCTGGAAGGAGCCAGGACCCAGGGCTGGAGAGCATCCTGCCCGAGTGTCCGTGTCAGACAAGGGCGCCCTGGGTCCCTTCTTGGACGGAGTGGTAGGATCCTGGGGAGACCCAAAGGTCTCCTGGAGGCAGGATCCTCCCTGCCTCTGCCAGAGGAACCCTGCTGCTCACGTCCACACTGCTCCCTAAAGTCAGCTATACTCTGTTCTTAAAAAGATGTTACCCATGAACAGACTCAACCGCAAGACAGTGCACAGAGCCAACCATGCAAGTCCCCTCCCACACACCACCCTGTTAATAGCTTTCTGCACTTAACACTTCTTACCTCTGAGAAAGGATAATATTCTTCTGCAAAAAACTGAAAGGCTAGATAATGATTCACCACCACTAGTCCTGTTGAGGGAATGAAGAGTTGGTGAGTTTGGAGGGGTGGGGGCATATAAAGCTGGACTTTTAATCCCCAAAACATCCCTGGGTATTGGGAGCCCCAGGTCTGGTCATGACGCTGCACTGAACTCAAGGTATGGCTGTGGCCACGCACCCTGCTCTCCAGGGCTCAGTTTCTCAGCTGTTAAAATGAGAAAATTGCCTCCCTCCTGCCCACTGCAGAGGAAACTGAAAATGGATAAGAAAGCTCTTTGAATGCTGTAAAACTGGAACTTAGAAAAAAAAAAAAATAGAACTTCAGTGTTACATCATCTGAAGCATCGTGACAATTAACCTGGTTTTCAGTGGCTGAGAGTCCTGAAAAGAACCTGCCTGGGCAGTGGGAGGGTGGGGGAAGCCATGGGGGTGCAGGCACACTCCCCAAGAACGTCTACTCCAAACTGGGCAGTAAGGAGAAGCCCTTCTTAAATAGAGGCTCTCACCCCCCAGGATACAAGGCACATCTTGCTGGCATTCTGGGGTAGTCTTAAGGTTCTTCAAAATTCAGGGCGGAGGGTCCATCCTCATCCTGCCCCAGGATACACCACATTGGTCTGAACGGATATGTTCTGGACCACAAGTCCCAGAAATTAGTATGCAGCTGTTCATGGAAGAAACGGGAGCGGGTCCTGGGGCAGGCTGCGCAGAGACAGGCGCCCCTGCACATACCACATTAAGGTGAGGAGCAGGCACCAGAGCAAATCCTCGCATAAAAAGCGCCCCTCTGTCTCTCCCTTTTTAAGACAAAGACCCTAGCCATGCCCTGCTGAGTCTAGGGAATAGTGGAAGGTACGATGGTGTCCAATGCCCACAAGGTCTTTAAAAAAAACTCTCAGGCACCTAAGGGGCGGGTGGGGACAATGATAAAGGGAAGACAGAGCCTGCTGCTGGAGGAGCTGGGTGAGGGGGAGCCCTCCCCACTGTGAAGAGGCAGAAGAGTCTCTACATCAACCACCTCTCAACAAATTCTTGGGTGAACCACACAAGGCACTCAGGGAAGCAACCAGTCCTAATATTTAACACTGTGCCCCCTCTAGATAACGGGCTCTCCCATTTCTCTCCACAGAAACAGAAAAGTAGCTCTGAAAAAAACCCCAATTCCATCTGATATCCTGACCAAAGGCTAGGATGATCAGGAATGACAAATGGGAGAACATCCGGAATAAGATACTTTTCAGAACCTTTTCCAAAAATACCTATAAATATCTACTATGTATAGGTTACTATATGCGTCTATGTATCAACCGAGTATCCTAAATAGCATCTTTGACCAGAAGGAGAGCTAAGGCCCAGAGAGGACAAAGGAAACCAGTGTCCTCCAAACACACCCCAACCCCAAGACAGCTGAAAGCAGGGGCCCAACCCTAAGGGGCTCCAGTCTTAACCATGACTTTGCCAGAGGACTAGATGGGAAGCTGCTTGCCTGTCAGGAAAGAACTCTGGGCTTTTCCTGGCCATGTGCTTCCTCGGGAGCTAAAACCACTCAGGCAACCCACTTCTCCTTCCAAACCTGTCCAAAGTTACCCCCTGGGAAAGTCCTCCTTGCCTGAGTCCCAGCCCACCTCCAACTCCTACTCCCACCAAATTCTCCAAGAGCCATGGCGGTCAGGACCCCATCTTCCCCACTGGCCTGGCTTTCTGGAGGCCCTCTGAGGTTTGGCCCTCCCCTTTATCCCCTGCAGTGCCTGCCACCCACTTCAGTTGCCCCCCCCAACATTGCCCCTTCTCACCGCATGACAGGATGAAATTAGGCGAGGTCAGCATGATGAAGGGGAAGGTCTGGAGGAGGCCAAAGTAGACAAGGTTGGTGAAGAGGCCCACGCCAATCATGCAGGTTGGGAAGCGCTCAAAAACGTAGAGGCCAATCAGCACAGCTGTGGAGAACTGAAACAACCAGAGGCACACAGTGCAGGAAGCCTCTTCCAAGCAGCCTTCCTGGGCTCACTAACTCCCAGACCACTCAGGGCAATCCCAGGTCCCCGCTTTATCCTCCCCTTATTTCAGTCATAGGTCTAAACTCCCTAGCTAGTAGTCTCTCGGCTCCCACAGCGCAGCATTTTAATGCCATTTCTCTAAAGTTTTCTGACAGCATCCCATAGCAAAACAACAACCCCCCCCACCACCACCACCACTTTATACCAAGATCACAACATATATATACTTATCTGGGATCAAAATTCAAATTTTAATTCTCGTCTTTTCTATTCAATTATTTAAAGAAAAGTACTGATCATGACCTACTGAACTGATTACATAACCAAATGATGAATCATACTGACAGTTTGAAAAACACTGTTCAGAAGGCCTTAGAGCTGGCAGTTGGTTGAATGACAGTCTAATTCATGTACCAATGTCTACAAGCCAGGCCTCCAACCCCAGAGCTGAGGGCCATGGTCTTTCTCTAGCTAGGTCATGCCCAAAGTGGAAGAGGCTGCTGACATCGAGAGGCACTGGCCATTCTGTCTAAACGTGACCCGCTGGCCTTCCCGGTGGCTGACATAGCTCTATCCACCAGTGGTCACTCCTGTGGCTTTGACATCAACAGCAAGGATTGTGTCTTTACGTGGAAAAGGCTTCCATGAGACCAGGGGATGGGAGGGCCTGAGTCTAGGAAGATATCTCCTCAGGACAAGTCACTTGATCCAGTTAGAGAGAAGGCACAAAAACGTTTTCAAAGCTGTCCTTAAGGTTCCTCTCTGGACTAAATGATGGGAGCAGAGCAAAGGGCTAGAGATGATAGAAGACAGCCAAGCGAAGGCAAAGCCAGAGTCCAGAGAATGTGCACTCAGCTGTCACCTTAAGGAACCAAGAATGGGGTGAGTGGTGAAGCAGTGCCACCTGGGGAAGGAGGCCAGAGAGGGCCTGGGCCTAGGAGAGCAGCCCCAGGAGACAAGCTGCAGGGCAGGGAGGCAGAGCTAGAGCCCACAGGTAACAGCAGAAGAGGGCTCATCACCCATGCCAAACTGTCCCTACTTCCTCCTCATGAGGCAGGGTGAAAGTGAAGGGGGACCCCAGGGAAAGGTGCTACTTACCCAGATCATGTATTTTATGATCCTGCTGGTGGCTACTGTGTATTCTTCGATCAGCTCTGCCAGGTAATAAAGTCCAGCCGCTGGAGGGACAGAAGGGACAAGAGGGAGGACATTAGCCAGCATCTCTCCCGCCAAGCCTGTCATTCCTCTCTGCAGCTGGGTCCCCCTCAACCCTCTTGGATTCCAGGAAGTGATTCCAGCAAAGAACAAACAATCCACGCGCTACCCTCCCAAGTCTGAAAATTTAAAAACTTTGTCAAGACTACTAAGGAGAGATTTCATAAAAGTGAATGGAAACCTGTGCCTAGAACCTCAGCACAATGCCTTTGGCTCAGAAAGGAGCATTTTATCACCTTTCCCGTAAATATCTGATGGGCACTTAGTATGGACCAGGTGTTGGCGGAATGCTAAAATACAGTACCCCACAGATAAGGCCCCTCCACCGACCAAGCTTGCATCTGTGGGGTACGGGTGGGGGTGGGGAGGTCGGGGGTGTCAGCGATCCCGGTGAGGCAAGTGCTGCTTTAAAGTTCAAGCCCTGTGGCACCAAGGCCCAGAAGGAAGGCTTCCCGGAGGAGGCGAGCTCCGGGGAGAAGGCAAGAGTAGGAACTAGTCAGAAGAGCGAAGCGCGTTAGAATCGGGGCAGGACGTGCGGAGGGCTAGAGGCGAAAGGGCCGCGGCAGCTGTCACGGGAAAGTTGGACGAGGCGGCCCGGCGGTGCGCGGGTCAGAGGAACCGGAGTCAGCCTCTCCCGCGCACCGCTGAGGCGGACTTTGTGACACCTGGAAGAACTTGCGAGGCTGCTGGGGCCAGCGAGGCTGACAGGGCCAGGCAGGTCGGGAGGGGCTGCGAAGGCTGGGTCACCGGGAGGGGGGCGGGGGGGGGTCTCCCGGTCACTCGGGCAACCCAGAGACGCGACCCCCCGGCGAGCAGACGCCGGGGCGGGAGCCCAGGCGGGCCCGGGTCGCGCGCTCTCACCGACGGCCAGCGTGATGAAGGCCACCTGGATGAAGAGCGACAGCCAGCTCAGCACGTACATGAACCACATGGCGCCCCCGCCCCGCCCGCCCCCCGACCGCCGGGACGGGCCTGCGCGTTTCGGCTCCGGCGACACGGAGCCGCCGCCACCGCCGCCGCGTCCCCGCCCAGCGGACGGCCGGACGACCCGGAGCCGCCGCCGAGAGTAGCCCGGCCCGAGCGCCGCCCTAGGCCTGCTCCGGACTAGCGCCCCCTTCCGGAGAGGAGGGCCAACGACTGCTGCCACGTGTGACTCGCAGCTGGCCCCGCCTACGCTGTTTCTAGAGAACGATCGCTGACGCCGTCCCGGGGTAGGCTAGACGATCCCCCTTGGAGGGGACGCGGCGCCTGTAGAGGAGCTCGGGATGTAGTATCCGGTCCCTCTCTGTGCACTCCTGCGCCCACCTAGAAGGAGGGTCGCGGGCAAGGAGGACATTTTGATCTCTACTCCGCAACGCGCAGCTGCAGCCAGAAGCCACCAGGCAGGTGGTCCACAGACTTTTTTCTTGCTGCAGAAGGCAATGGAAACAAAATTGTTGAGTGTCTATGCTAAAGGCTAGGCCTTATGTTTATGATGCAAATGGATGCGATGACATAAATCATTCTATGAATAGGAAACGGGCAGGGGAAGATGAGTTTGCCTCAGTTCATACACGTAGAAAGCTGCAGAGGCAAGAGTTGGGGCGCCTTTGTTTAATCGGCTTCAGGGCTAGCTCCTGTTAAGCGGTGTTCCTTTGAGGTGTAAGCTCCACCTTTGTGTCCCCTCCCACTAGCCCAGTTCAGGGTGCTCAGGCATCCACTGTCCTGAAGGCATTTTCTGTACACTGTGGGGCACGAGGAGTCAGGCAACCCTTGTCAGGAAGTCCCCCATCTGGTGGAGAGATAGGCAAGCAGAATAAAGCATGTGTTGTAACCATTTAGGATGCTCCTCGGAGTATTTTTCATGCATAAAAATGAATATATATTCCTCAAAACAAACATTGAGTCACTGTATGATTTGTCAATTCCATTCCTGGATATCAACCCAAAAGTATTGAAAGTGGGGATTCAAACACATATTTGCACACGAATACTCATAGCAGCATTATTCACAATAGTCAGAAAGTAGAAATAACCAAAATATCTGTAACAGATGAGTGGATAAATAGGCAGTATATACAGACAATGGAGCATTACGCAAGCCTCGGATATGGAATTCTGGTTCGTGCTACAACGAACCAGATATTATGCTAAGCTAAGTGAGATAAATCAGACATGAAAAAACAGATATTGTATGATTCACTCACCTGAGGTATCTTAAAGTAGTGAATGAAGGTTGCTAGGATTGGGGGACAGAGGATAATGGTATGTTGTTTAATTGGTATAGAATTTCAGTTGAGGAAGATGAAAAGATCCTGGAGATGGATGGTGGTGATGGTTGCACAACGCTGTTAAAGTGGTTAAAGCGGTCGATTTTATGGTAAGTACAGTTTACCGCAACGAAACCTAACTGGCCTTAACGCCATTTCTGTGGCTATCCCAGCTCCTGGAAACTGCCTGCAGGGGGCGCCCACAGCTGGGGGAGCAAGGTAGGATGCAGCGTGCACCTTCTGAGTGGATTTGCCTACCACCGAAGACAAAAATAATAAAAAGCAAAGAAATTACATTGAAATACAGATATCAAAATATTATTTTGGAAAATCCAACGCATGATATAGTCAATAATATGTAATTCTTGATTAATGCATAATTTTAATAACTAATTAACCGCCTATCTATAATAAGAAATTCATGTGTTTGGTCTCTGCCCCTAGATCCTGACCCACAGCCCTAAAGCCCTTGAGGTTTCCTGAGTCCTGGAGGTGGTAGAAGCATGCAGCTCCTAAATGCCTGGGGATTTCTTGGCTGAGCATCTTTTGTTCAAATGGGGTAAGTCCTGGCTGGTTCCTGAAAAGATAAATCACTGGTCACTAGAACAACCAAATGATTAGAAGCTAGGAAACTTCAGTCCCATCCACTTCACTTACCACCCTGCAGGAAGAAAGACTCGAGATTGAGTTAATAATCAATCATGCCTGCACTATAAAGCCGGCATAAAACCTGAACTGTGGGATTCAGGGAGCTGCCACGGTGGTGTATACCCCCCACATACTGGGAGGGTGGGACCTCCCAGACCTCACCTTATGTTCCTCTCGGGGTGGCTGTTCATCTACATCCTGTACAGTAATCTGATACATTTAAGGAAGTGTTTCTGAGTTTTGTGAGCCTTTCTACAAATTATCAAACCTGAGATGGGAGTCTCTGGGACCCCCCCATCCCAGGGCAACTTTGTAACCAAGTCAGTGGTATTGGTAGCTCAGGTCTGTGACTGGCATCAAAGGGAAGGTGGTTTGTGGAATTGAGTCCTTAGACCTGTGGAGTCTCATGCTAACCCCAGGTAGTTGGCCCTTGAGTTGAATTGAATTACAGGACGCCCATTGATGTCTGGAGAGCTGGGAAATAGCTTGATGGGGAGCTTCTGGGCAGGGATCCACCCATTTAGTGTCTGAAGTGTTGTAGGCAGAGAAACAGTTTTCCTTTACTGCAACAATAATAAGGCGGGGATGAGTGTAATTGATATTTCAAAATACCCTCAATCATATAAAAATGACTTAGGTGCTACTTACTACTGCGTTTTGTTATTTCTACTCCCAAGGAAAAGAAATGTTAAATATCAAGTAGAAGTTAATACACATAAAGATGGGAATTTTTTCCCGTCCAACTTTCCAAGGTTCTTGAGTTTGTTGGCCTGAGTTCTCTGATTAATCTGCTGATTTCTAAAAGGGCCTGAGCCCCTGGTTAAGAATTCCTGAGAGAGGGACTCCATGGTGGTGCAATGAGTTAGGACACAGCACTATAAGTGAGCCATAGCCACTTCAGTGCGAGTTTGATCACTGCACCAGAGGTGATCCACATGGTGCAGCAGACAGCTCCTGACCCGCCCGCTGCTCCCCTCAGCAGTGTACTTCATCGATCTGCCTGTTCTGCTCCTCACTCTGTCTCTGGTGAATCCTCTCACTGCCCCTACACCGCTGGATTGTACCCCAGTTCTGTATGCATAAATAAATAAATCTTTTTTTAAAAAAAAAGAATTCCTGAAAGATAGGTGTAAGAGCCCTGGGGACTTAAAGGGCTGAACACTTGTGCACAAGGCTCTTTGCCATACTCGAAGTGACTGAAAACAATCTAAATGTTGGCTAATAGGAAACTATACATATAGGTACACCATGAAGCAGAGCTATAAAAACACATGAGGACATGCTTTATGTATCCATATCAGGGAATCCCCTTTTGAAAAAAGCAAAAGGATGCAAAGATTCTATATAGGTATTTTTTTGTGTAGAATACTGCTGAAGGATGGTTCCAAAATGGTAAGAGGACTTGCTTTCTAGGAGGGGGGTGCAGTTTTCAAGAGTGAGAACATTCTAATGGTATGTCTGCTTATATCCTTAAAACATTGGACTGTGTAAATATTAACATTTATAAATATATTACCTATTCATAAATCAAGTTTAAAATTAAAACGGTCATAGTACGCTGGGCCTGTGAAGGTGTCTCCAATTTCCTGTTGTCCCCCACTCCCTTTGTGAGAAAAGCCATGTGTGGTGCCTTCCAGGTAAACTGACTCACCTTGGTTCATGTGAGCTGGTCACCCTTGATTGTTCCAATGGAGTGCCTCATGCTCAGATCTTTTCTTTTGGGGAGTTTGAATTTTAGACACACAACATCAGTGGGTAGAGACACACTGATATCTAAACTGATCTTACTTTTTCCTAAACATTATCTACCCAGGGAGGGAGGAAAATATGTCTCCCCTGACTTAGCCCCCAGAACTGTACATAGGGAAACTTGAGGTCCTAAAGGTTAGGAATATTTCCTTATGACTGAACCAAGGTTGTTATTCTAGGGCTGGGCACCTTCATTTTCCATAGCCTTAGAGCCAAAACCAACCCAGGAATCGAGGTTGAGGCCTGGCATTTTCTGCAAAGGCAGGAAGGGAGGAGTTACTGCTTCCAAGAGATGGGAGCAGAAAACCAGCACGGGCTTTCATCTGTTTCACCCAACCCAACAGGGCAATGCAGAGTAAGGGGTCCACTTTGGGACCCAGGCTTAGAGAGGGTGGGGAGGGGAGCAAATCAAGCATCCCTTGAAGGAGGGATGGGAGGGAGAAGGAGGGCCCCCACACTGAATTCAAGGGGCTCAAGAATGAGTGGGTTTGAAGATTCAAAGGAGACTGATTCATATATGGACAGATCTCAGTACTTCTATGCACTCATTCTGATGTCACACACCATTTTTCCTTACACACTTGCCACTGATGCCCACATGGACGCCCGCATGTGGGCAGTTTCCCCCAGGGCTCAGGAGGATGGATGTTCTAGGTGAAACTTGCTCTTTTAACAACACATGAAGCTTTTCCTGAGGAAACAAAACTGCTAGCACTGGGGATTGATGTGGGAAGTCCTTGGAATCCTCTGAGAAACATTCAGCAGAGTCTTCATTCAGCAACACAAGGCAAATTTATTGAGGAAAAAAAGGCGTTTGTACAGATAAAAACAGGCAGTCTGTAAGGCAAGAGCTGCTTTTTGCTAGAGCACAGAATGTCCTTACACGTTATTCTTTGGGGAATTTTATCACTTTGTGAACTGTATTGCTCTGGGGTTAGGTTCGGTTGGTTTTCTGATAACCCTCTCTGCCCCAACCTCCAATTCCTGGCCTTTTGAAACTTCCATAGCCAGTTTAACAACTTGTTAATCATTTCTACCCCCACCTTCGATTTCTGGCCTTGAGAAACTTCCATCCTCAATTTTCTACTCTAAGTTTCCATCACGAGCATTGGTAGTGCTCTTACTCTGTGCCAGACACTATTCTGATTTCTCGGTGGTAACCCAGTCAGAGTCCACATCAGGTACAAGAGCCAATGCTATTGTTGATTGTTTTCTCTCCTCCTCCTTAGAAACTGAAAAACAGAGGTTAAAACTTTGTCCAAGGTCATAGAGCTAGTGTGTGCAGAAGCCTGGGCATGGAACTGGTGTATTAGTTGGTGCCATGGTCCCAGTGACCCTCCTGGCT